CCTGGATCGGGTTAACACCGTGGAGTCGGAAAGTGATCGTACGGGGTGCTACGTACTCTGGGTCAATAGCTGTAACGCGATTCCGGCAGAGCGGTTAATTCGTTGCTGGCATATCAAATACGCGAGTCCTTGCGGAAGGACTACGCGAAACGAATATCTTATGGTAACCAACAAATATGTAATTGAATTTCGGGCGGAGAGTGGAGGATGACGCGCGAATGGTTACACGATTTGTCGTAAAAACTTGTAAAAACAACCGCGTTATCGTATTCCTTTTGCGTCATTGATCGGCTATAAAAGAAAACGAAAGCTGAATAAAAAAGAAGATCGTATTTTATTTGTACCGTCTATACCGTCTTTGCCAAATTTTATAAAATCTCTCGAACGATACTCGAAGGATTATTTTAACTCCCTTTAAATTTAATTCTCAAAATCAGTTATGGAATAAAAGTAATTAATCAGAAAAGATCTATATTATTTACCAAATTTTATAAAATCTCTCGAACGATACTCGAAGGATTATTTTAACTCCCTTTAAATTTAATTTTCAAAATCAGTTATGGAATGAAAGTAATACGATTAAGTAAGTAATCAGAAAAGAAAAAGAAAAAAGGAACAAAATTTCTCACCATCCCGTGCTAAACCAATCTCGAGATGCGTCGAGATGCGATCGAATCGAAGTCTCCCCTTCCGTTCTACGTCGTACGAAAAGGGGAACATTTTGACACGATTGAAAAAACTGCGATTTGAAAAGGGAATAAAATGAACGAATAAATAAGTAAAAAGAAAAAGTAGATTTATCCGCGCCACGAGATTCCTGCTCGTCTAACCTTCTCTCGTTCCTCTTCTCTGCCTGTTACAGTATCCTCGAGCTGCGCAAGGAGAAGAGCAGAGACGCTGCCAGGTCTCGAAGGGGGAAAGAGAACTTCGAGTTCTACGAGTTAGCGAAAATGTTGCCATTACCGGCGGCTATTACCTCCCAGTTGGACAAAGCCTCTATAATAAGGCTAACCATCTCGTACCTCAAACTTCGGGAGTTCTCGGGCCACGGAGACCCGCCATGGAATCGGGATGGGCCACCGCCAAATAAATCTGGCAAAGGTAAGGAGATCGTCATTAACCCGCCGCTTGATTTTCCTTAATTCTCATATTTCTCAAAAATCACGATTTTTCTATAACTAATATATATATATATATATATATATATATATTCGAGAAAAGTGGATTTAATCCAGTGATAAAAAAAAAGGATTTAGAAATCGATTCTTCTTTGTTAAACTCGTGTCGCAGACTGGAATTTAATTGAATATTATGCTCGGCGAACAGGAAGAAATGCAATCGTTGTCCCTGAAAAAAAAAGAAAAGAAAATAAGATATTCTTTCCAACCCTCTTCTAGAAGAGCTGTGGAAACAACACAGATGATTGGACCCCCCCCGCTTATTACAAAATGTATCTGCTGGTGATATCTGCTGATGGATCAGTATTTAACCCCGGGAATAGGGGGAGTCGATTCGTTGTTGGAAGATCGACGAGCGTGTAGCGAGCGAACCGTGTGTGTCTTTCTTTCGAGTGAAAAATCGATGATTGTTGCAAAATATTCTTTCACTGTTTTTTTTCCTTTTCGTAATTTAGAATCAACCGGAGAAATAGAAATAGAAAATCGAATCGAAACTCTCCTCTACGAAAAGGATTCTCTTCCCAACGGAGTCATTATCGCGCAATCTGACTAAAATACAACGCGCAAAAATATCCAGAAAAATATCCATTCTCCAGAACCGCAATTAACCTAATCGGGGGAACGGGAGAGGAATCTGAGAATCGTCGCAAATTAATTGCAATGGTATCGTATGCTCGTATCGTCGGCCGTGATAAAGAGGGTGAAAGGAGCGGCGGGGGTGGACGTTGAATCTCGATGGAAATTCACGGTACACCGGTATCGAATTAACCGGACAAAAAGAATTCTCCTTAAGAATTGGCGCAAGCGGGCCAGCAATAGATCGGGGGCCGCGATACCCTTCTTTATAACTGGAGAGTGACCACGCAGCCGGCGCAAGATTCCCAGATACATAGTAATAGAGAATTGTCGGCTATAATCGAACGATAGCATCGCCATTGGTTTTCTTCATTTTCGTGGTTCATTTAACGGAATGAAATGAAAGTGGACCGCCTTTTCGCCCCGAAACATTGAAATGAATCCAACCATTCAGATTCGTTCCCTCATCGGTCAACGAAATTTCACGATAGCGAAACTTTACGAATCGAAAATAAATGAAATAATCGTTTCTCAAGAATACACAATACAATTCTACGAGGTCATTTCTACGAAAGAGTAGAAGGATCGATCGGTCGATTCAACCTCTCAAAGAATCATCTACAGCAATTCCACAATTTTCCCCCCGAAAAAAACCCACGGCCAATCATAATAATCCACGATGATCCCCTTTTCCTATCAACCCTTCGTTTCCTCGTTACGCGCAACCACCCTCTATCCTCTCAAAGATTCCTCCTGCTCGAAAGAAAATCCGCGTTGCAACGAGGCGGAACACGGAAAATAAGGTGGTCGATAAAATTCACTTATTCATTCTCGCTACTTTCGGTGAATCGCACGAGGGGGGTGGCTTGGTTGAGTTAATATTTGTCGTGGCGCGTAAGGAAAGAGAGAGAGAGAGAGAGAGAGAGAGAGAGAGGAGGGAGGGAGAGGAGATGGCTGGTTGTACATATAAAGCGGGCACACATAAAGGCTTAGGTGGGTGCACCACTACCTACATGGAAATCTAATCACGGCAACCCCTGCGTGGGCCTCGCGTTACCAACCGCCAATGTAACTAAACTAACGAAATTGAGTTAGGCACCGTCCGCACATCGCTGCCGCAGCTCCTCGTCAAACTAAATCCACCGCGGCCGGTTCACCCTCGTCCCGCATGTCACTGGCACACAACTGCGAACCAGAGACCTCTCGACTTAACGAAGTAAAATGCGTTAAAGATTTCCAGACACGTCGATTGATTTATTTTCTTTCCTCCATTCTTCCTTCCATTCTTTCTTCCCCTTCCGTTCCTCCTCCTCCTCCTTCTTCTTCTTCTTCTTCTGTTTCTTTTCAGGGTATTGAGTAAGTTTGGCTTTTTTTATTTCTTTATATTTGAAGAATTGTATAATTTTGAACGTTGGTTTATTTCCTTTCTTCCACACTATCTTCGTACTACTACTCCTCTTCCTTCTTTCCTTTCGATGGTAGAGAGTAATTTTGATTTCATCCGTTATTTCTTTCTTAAGAATTTTCAATGTCTTTTGTTATCAAGTTAAGTTAAATTTGTAGTTTGTGGAATGTTCTTTTGTAAAATGATATTCTACAGTTTTGCCAATTTTAAACAATAACAAACCTGTGGATGGTAATTTCACTTAGAAACTTGAAACGGGTCCATCGTTTCCAGTAATAGCAGCCCGAAGTTGGCAAAGCGATCTAAATTGGCGGAATGCATTCCAAACAGAGTGCGTTTTAGATAGCAGAGATGCAATTCCAACCCAGTGGAAAACTATTTCAATTCACTTTCTTTTCACTCTCTGAATAAAAATCTCCATTCAAAAGATTGATACAATTATTTTGCGAGTTCCTTTTTTTTTTCATTCTTCGTCTCTTCTGAATGAATTATTCTTTTCGTGCAATAACAAATTTCGATCCGCGCGTTGTTCCTTCAACACTCGTCGTCGCGAAAAAATAACGCATTACCAAAGTTGATCTTCGCTAAATTGATCTTCGCACCGGCACGCGGATATTTTTCCATCATCCCCAAGGAAATATCTGCGAGCCATTGTGCTGGGCAATCGAGGAAAATTTTCCCTTGGATACTTGTCAAAATATTGTGATGGTCAGATACTTCCATTCGGAAATTTGATTCTATTTCATACAAAAAAAAAAAAAAAAACTATAGCTTCTTTTAGTTAAATAAAAAAAAAACTAATAAATATGGAAAATTCGTACCATTGTAGAATTCTTCAGAGATGTTCTTTCCTTCTTTCATTTCTATTAATCTAAATCGTGTGAACTAAAAACATTTCTTATCTCGATAAAACAACCAATTCCGATTGCACGATTCCTTCTTACCAAACAACTCCTCATAAAAAGATCAAGAATTTGAAGTTAATTCTTTCTTCGATTCACTTCCAATCTAAAATCCAATCCAAAACTACGTTAAATTCTTTATCTTAATAAAATTTACCAATTCTCAATACGCAACAACGATCCATCCACTTCTCATTCTCAATTCTCAATTCTCAATTTCCTTTCTCGAAAACCAAAAATTCCACGTTTTCGTGCGAACTCGATCGGTAATTCTCGATCGGTAAAAGTTTAATCGGTATTCACGGATCGTCGTCACGAAACGAAACGAAACGAACATTCGGTGGCGGTCGTGGAAGAAACCGCTTTCGTCGTACATAGGCGAAAGTCCGGCCGGATTATTCGGGGATCCGGGTCCGAGATATCGGAACGAACTTGTTGACCGAATGGCGAAAGCCAGAGGCTGATCAATCCGTCCAGTTAGCCGGCCACTTCGACTTCGTTCCTGGTCCGTAGGGCTTAGCAGATTAAGCGGTTCGCGCCGAGTTTGATCGAGTCTTCTAAGTCTTTCATTACGACGTCCCCGAAGAGAGGGTGTGGGTTGGTTTATTATTACGGGCGAGGAGCGGGAACGTCTTGTTTGTTAAACGAGGGGGAGAGAAGAAGAAGAAGACGCGAAGGGGTCACACCGGTGGCATGGTTAGCAGGCTATCTTTAGGGGGTTGAAGAGTTGGGGAATGAGTCACAATGGTCAGAATAAACTGGAGGTAGGCCACGATCGGGTGAATGTCAATCAATGGAGGATGGACAAACGTCTTTATTAACTCTTTGCTCACCCTTCGAGTAGGAATTGTCTGGAGGGGGATGAGATGGAACGGATTTTGGTTAGTTAAAGTGGTAATTATTGGGGACTATAAGAAAACGTTTGGAATAAAATTTTAGTTTGCTGTTGAGCATTTTAATTGTATACAAATTTCAGAATCTTTTAAAAATCCATTAATTAAGGATGTTGGAAAGATTTTTCTCTGTGTAAATTTCTAAAGATTTTTTGGAAACTTGAAAATTAAAAAAAGAATTAATTCGCAACTCTGTCAAAAGGTTTCAGGCAATTTTGTAAAATCGTTATAAAGATTTTGTGAGAAAGTGAATGCTTTCGTATTCGTTTCACTTACAAAATAAACAAAATAAGATTAATATAAAATTCCTCGTAGAGGAATCTTCAACGATGAGTTAATTGTTTATTAGATTGACGTGATTTCCTTCTTTTAATGAAATTTGTGTCAGAAATGGGTGATCGAGAGAAACCACCACGGAATGTTGATTTATCGAGTTCCGTTTGTTCATTACTATTCATCGTTCGCGATATGCACGGCAATATGCAACTTTGACGCCATCTGACGAATACAAATCTATCTTTTTAACACACGTATACCTAAGCGATAACTATGGACCTGTCATATTCTTTACGGAAGCGTCTAAACTTAACTACGATGAAAAAACAGAATATTAAATATCGCGTTGAACCGAGCCCATTCAAATGAATGATGGACATATATCATCGCCTTTAATAACGCGCCACGTTTTCTGATTCCAGGTGCGAATCGAGTTAGGTCATCGGCATCCGCTGCTATGGACCACTTCGATGTACATCAGGGTACCCATATTCTTCAGGTAAACGATGCATTTTGCGTTTCCTTCTCTTTGTTTTCGAATCACGTATCTATAAAAAATAAAAAAAAGTTATTAATTGATTTATCCTTAGATTTAGAAAAGTAGTTCAAGAGGAATTTCTTCCAACCTCTTCATTTTCGTTCGAATTATTTCATTAATCAAAATCTTTGTAAACTAAATAAAAACTATTAAAATTTCGAAAAAAAAAAAAAAAAAAGAAAGAACATACTAAAATTGCAATGGGGGAAAAAGTCGCAACGAAAAGATAAAATTGCGACAAAGATTCAAACGCAGCATTCCGGAAACTGACAGCGGGAGGGGAGGGGATCTGGAAGTGATCACGAGGTAACCGGGATGCTACGTTGTTCGGTCCCGGGAACAACGAAGAAAGAAAAAAAAGCTAAAAAGAACTGTGGAAAGAAACGAAAGAAAAAGATAGAAAGAGGTCGAAGAACGATTGCTCCCATATTTTCCGTTTCAGTCGCTGGACGGGTTCGCGATGGCGGTCGCCGCTGATGGACGGTTCCTGTACATATCCGAGACCGTCTCAATTTACCTTGGACTCTCACAGGTGAGTGTGTATAGCCTCACGTTGTATATACGTTCCCTTACGAATCGTCGTTGTAAGCGTGACTCGTTCTCCGGGATGTTGATGGAACCCAGAGCTGGGCTGTAGGCAGAAGGGGGAGGGGGGGTTAGGGGTGAGGCTAGAGAGAGAGAAGAGTACAAGTCTAGGGGGTGGAGGAAGGGAGATGGAGAGGAGAGAAATACAAGACGAACGAAGGAAGGAAGAAGGCAGGGCGTGGAAGAGATAGGTGGTGGTGGTGGTGCGCGGGGGTGGGTGAAATGAAGCGGAAGACATATAAGACACAGGCATGCACGTGAGGCTGGCACGTATATGCGCGAGCCGGAAGGGCAAAGATAGCACGGCACAGCGCGAGGGAACCGTGGAAAAAGGAGAAGCTGGATGAAGAAGAAAGAAGGGGGTGAAGAGGTGGCAAGGTGGCCACGGTGGCGAACGGTGAAAAGAAGAGAAGAGAGACGAGGAGGAGCAGGAGGAGGAGGAGGAGGAGGAGGAAAAGAAGCGACTAGGTAGTAGCATGGCTGGGAAAAGAGGAGGTGGATAAGGACGAGAAAAAAAAAAGAGAGAAGGAGAGAGACAGAAGGGAGGGAGGGAGGGAGGTCAAGGGAGGAAAAGAGGAGAAGGTTGTATGAGTTGGCGGCCATACTGGCTGGCACCAAGCATGACATAGACGAGGGAAGGATGGGTGGTGGTTGGGGGCGGGGGTGGTCGCATGCGGCTCACGTAGCCTCTGCACGGCGGCGTGTTCGCCATTCCTAATGCTGCCCGTGAAGGTAGATGGAGAAAAGAGAGAGAGAGAGGGAGAGAGGAGACAGAGAGAAGCACAGCTAGACTGGGAAGGGAGTGTAGAACGGAGAAACGGAGAAACAGAGATGGACAGAGAGACGGACGAAAGGAGAAGAGAGAGAGAGAGAGAGAGAGAGAGAGAGAGAGCTGGAATGAGGAATAGAGAGGGGAAAGAGGGAGGGAGGAACAGGAGGTGTACGGGAGGTGACCGGTGTACCAGCTCGGTTCTGCGAGACTCGTGGAGAGCAATCAATAGGGTGTTTCGGGGATTCGGGAAACCGGCGCCGACGTTGCCACAAACATGGCCGCCGGCAACCCCTCTTGTGTTCCGGAGGTATGTATTTCTTCTCGCGAGAGGAGAACAACGGAATATATGATATAACGCGAAGAAACGTGGAAATTATCGTTTTCTCGAAGCTGTATCTCTGAAAGAATTGGAATTGATACCCGTTTTTTAAATAGTCTTCGCTTCCTTCCTTCGATTCGAGTCCGCAACCCCTAGCGAGGGATGGGATATAGTTTTGGTGGCATTCCGATGCGTTAACGATTTCTAAGTCTCGTTGGTGAAGTTGATTCTTAATAGGTTCCTCCTCCTTCTCCTCCTTCTCCTGTTCCTCCTCCTCCTCTCTGTTTGTTGGGTTACGAGGGTACCTACTACTGGCTTTAGTATTATTATTATTCTGTCGGCAAGTTCGATTGAAATTAAAGTTTCCGTGCCCGATGAAATTGACTCCCTCTCTTCCTACCTTTCTTTCTGTCTTTCTCCGTTGGTTGAGAGAGCCTCCCCCGATGGAAAACCGTGCCCCTCTGAGCTAGTAATCTACTTCGCGGGATTTACATACTCTTACGTGCTTTGTCTTTGAGCGAGTTCCTGGAATCTTGGGATCGAAGGGTAAATCGACGTGTTAGGATTATACGAGTGTGTACATTTGAATAATTTTACCAATAAATGTTATCGAAGGAATTTTCTTTCTCGAATATTTTAAACAACGTCATTTTGTTGGTAAAAATCTTGTAATTAAATGATAGACACGTTTATTCTAGTGAAAAAGGAAAATTGTTTTGTATCTTTGTTGTTGCAGACATTTATCAATATTCCGTTCTCGCTGTTCTGCAAAGTTTTACTAATAGAATTTCAGTTTCAAACGTGTTTTGTATTTTTCGTAAATTCGTATAAAATATATCGTTTTCGTTTAAAAGAAAAAAGATATCACTTAAATTTGTAAAAAATTCTTTAAAAACTGGTTTCCTAAAATAGATATCTTTGACATATTAATAAACACATAAATATCTTTTTAAAATAAATTATATATAATTTTTAAATTAATTCGAGAATCGTTTAAAAATAGAAATAATTTCGATAAAAATTTCATTCTATTCGATAGTATCGAGAAATCTTTAAATAATGATATATCTTTTAGATACCAATTTTATCAAATTTCAAATCTTCGAATTAATATTAGTAAAACATTTATCAATAAAAAGCATTCTCGATTCTTGTAAAAAGGAAACTAACTTTAAGATGCTACTTCCATCGAACGAAAGAATGTCGTTTCGGTCACGTCGAAGCAGTTTTTCCTAGAAACTATCATATTAAGAGCCACAGAGTTTCCCTGCAATGAAGTCGCCTCGAGAAAGCTGTCCTCGACTGCAGTTTTTTTTTCTCTAATTAAGTCACCTTTCCATAACTTGTCAAGTAAATTACGATATTTAAACGCACGTGCTTCTTCGGAGACTTACATTTTTATCATACTTCAAATTCTTAAAAAAAAAAAAAAAATCTTTATTGAATTAATTCGTCAATCCTTGCAAAAATTATACTCCCTGACTAAAGTAAGAAAATATTAATAATAATAAAAAAAAAATATATATTTTTAAGAAATAAAACGTACTTTCGAAAAAGCATTTGAATCGAAGAAAATTTTCTGAATTTCCAGGTAGAGATGACGGGTTCAAGCGTTTTCGATTACGTTCATCAGCAAGACCACGCGGAAGTAGCAGAACAATTGGGCCTCGGGTTGACATCGAGCGCCTCTTCCGGTCCACATTCATCCAGCTCTGGCCTAGCATCGCCGAGTAGCGCGGCATCCGAAGAACATGGATCTTCCTCCACAGCGAATCCCGACGGTAAATTTCTACGTCTTTTGTTTGTACGATGCGCCACGCCGAGAATCGCGATGAGATCATTTCGCGTCATGATCGTTCGTTGATAAACTTCGAGTAGTAAAGTTAATGAATCTTGAATAGATTATGAATTCTTCTTGTGACGTAAAGAATGAAGTTCTCACAGAAGCAAGAAATATCTTTTCCTTGTTTAAACAATTTTTTTTTTTATAATATCGAAATTAACAATTTAGACATAATTTGCATTATCATTTATAGTATCCTCAGTAATGTCGTTATCAGCGAATAATCTCTACAAAGGATACGACAGAGCGTTCTGCGTCCGGATGAAATCCACCCTAACGAAGAGGGGATGTCATTTTAAATCTTCTGGTTATAGGGTGTGTATTCTTTCTTCTCATATTTTAAAAAAGTTTTTCGCTGAAAATTAAAAAAATAAAGTTTAGAATCTTCTAAATAGAAAAATGGAAATCATCATCAATTTATCATAATTTATATTTAATCGAATCCTATCAATTTTCAAAGTTCAATCGATTTAACGTTTCGTAAATCAATCGCGTTCAATTAACGAAACCAGAGATGTTAATAAACGATTATGAATTCAGGTCGTGTTGTTACTGTGCCGTTTGAGACCGCAGTATACGTTTAGCCATACAAGAAAGTCCGCGCCACCGTTAATAGGCATGGTTGGCCTGGCGATCGCACTTCCTCCGCCAAGTGTGCACGAAATTCGCCTCGAAACCGACATGTTCGTCACGCGGATCAACTTCGATTTTCGGATAGCACACTGTGAACCAAGGTGAGCATCGTGAATATCAATTGATACGTTTATGGAATAATTTCGCGATTGTTCATAAGATTTTTTTATATACTTTTATAATAAGTAATTTCGTATTTCTTTTTTTTTTTTTTTTTTTTATGTCAATTTATAGGGTATCCGAATTATTAGATTATACAGCGGACGAATTGACGGGAAAGAATTTGTATACGTTGTGCCATGGAGAAGATGCAAATCGTCTTCGGAAGTCTCACATCGACCGTGAGTATATTTTTTATCGATAATTAAATTGATGAAATTTAAATTATAAAATATTTCGCGTTATCCTGATTTTATGATTTTAATTTGTTTTAGTGATTCACAAGGGACAAGTATTGACGCATTATTATAGGTTGATGAACAAAAGTGGAGGATATACGTGGCTACAAACGTGCGCCACGGTAGTATGTAATTCGAAAAACGCTGAGGAACAAAATATCATTTGTGTCAATTATGTTATAAGGTAAATGTCATAACATGCGTCATTTCAACAATTATATTTATACAACAATATATATAACAATTATATATATATATATAAATATCATGTTATATTTTAAACGAATAATAATATTAATGTTGATTTACCATTTTTTATAGTGGTCGTGAATACGAAAATTTAATTATGGACTGTTGTCAACTGGAGGAAGGCGTTATGGGCGTCAAACGCGAGGATGCTGCTGGAAACGATCCAGAAAATGGATCCCCCGACGCCGATAGAGGAGGTACACATCTTAAGATATTCTACTTTGCTCCAATTCTTTCTAAAAAATTATTAAATATTAGTTGCTTCATATTCGTCAATAATTCAAAACTTTCTAATCGCTAAGGTACAATAGTATTATAAAATATTGCAGAGGGAAGAAACCACGGTGGACCGCCAAACCAACATCAGGAACATCCTCACAGGTCGCCGCCGGAAGATCGCGAAGATACTCGTGGCTCGGAGAGCGAGAAACGAGGCAGCCGACATCACGACAACATAGCCCAGCTTCAACAAGAGCCGGCGGTAGGGAACATTAGCACGCTCGTAGTGAAATTGCGCGGGCACAAGCGGAAGTTGCACGAGGATGATAGCAGCTCGAACGAGGAAGAGGACGAGGAGGACGACTCAACGGTGAAAGTCACGAATAACGAGAGAAGCCACGCTCTAAGTCCAGCTCCATCAAACCATTCCATTTCAGGAGGTGAGCAAATACTGTGCTCGGCCAGTCCGAAATCAAGACGTGTGGAAGATAGAACGAGCAACGCCGACAGTACCGGCACCTCCGTGAAAGATCTAGAACAAGCGATGTCCAAGCATTTGCCGGTTCAGAATCTCAATAAGTCCCATTCACCGACTCTCCATCAACCTACCGATTTCAGTACGGACGCTTTGCTGAAACAACAACAACAGAGGAGTACGATACAATGGATCGGAGCGCATCATCATCTGGGACATCTAAGTCCTCAACAGTCGAGCACCGCGCCATTACCAGCATCCGCTCTTCTACGACAATTATATGCCAACAGGGAGAGCGTGATACGAGCCAATGTTCACGGAATCACGTCCAGCGGTACTACAAGAACCTCTTCTTCCGGTGGCACTTACTACGCCGGGGACACGACACCTAGTGGTCCTTTGCCTACCCCACCTGGCTCCGAAGGATCCAGTACCTACGGTGAACATCAATTCGTGTTAGCAACGCACAATCAAAAAAGTTCAAGTGGAACTAGTTGTGCCGATGCGTTTACCAGCTTGGTTTCCTCTTATTCTACCGCCAGCGGTTATACGGTTGATTATCATTCGGCGATGACTCCACCGTCATCCGTTTCACCGAGGGACAAGCAGCAACAACAGCAGCAACAACAACTCCATCCGGTGAACGTGATAAGCAGCTACGAGGGTTCATCGGCCTACACTGACCCTGTGTTACGCCACCAATACGAGCCAGCGCAACCGTTGCCTTTGAAGCCTCAAGTATATTCGGCTGCCGTTCATCCTAGCGCATTGGACGCTGCCGCGGCGTACGCCTCGGCTGGTTTGAGCGAGCAAGCGCAATTTTACCATCATCCGGCCGCTGGAGCTGGTTTCCACATTTACCATCCGACGAATAAATCGACGACAAACGGTTGGTATAGTTCGACGTCCTAGTGGCGTGCGCCAGCACGCGAGAGACGTGTACTTAAGTAACTGAAAATTTTGAGCCCAAAGTCCCCACATGCATATCAGTGATATCATATTCACCTCGGCATCTCTGTATTATCACCGATTTTCCTCTCGTTTCCCCTCTCTCCTTTCACATATATTCGTTCATTTCCTTTCTTCCCCGTTTATCCCTGTTTCGCTTTATTTACGTTTCACTTTTGTTACAAGTTGATCGTTTCTGTCTTCCTCCAAGATAGTTTTTTTTATTTCGCTTCATTTTTCTCCTATATTTTATTTCTCGCGATCCTAGCGATCGTGCACGCGCATCCGATGTGCCAATTGAACTGTAAAAATCGCTGCTCTCTATTCTCGACTATTGTAGAACGACTTATTGTAATATAACAGAAATAAATTATTATGTATGTTGACATTTTCGGAAGTATTCGCGTAAGAAAATGGAAGGTAGTAGTTTCTAAAAGAAAATGAAAAGGGAAAAAAAGAGAAATAAAGAAGGGAAGGGAAAATATGAGATAGAGGACAAGAGTATGTTCGATGCGACGCTCAAGGGGCAAAACGGTGAATCTCGAAACGCGGTGACCAATCAAATTATATGATTAGTTGTCCCATGTAAGAACAGTGCATGAAAAGAGAAATAACAAAGATACAAAGATAAAAAATGAAGGTTTATCAGCATTATTGCTGTAAAATAAATGCCGGCGTGGTTGTTAGCGATAAATTTACTCGAGAAGCCGTACTTGTCATAAATTTTTTATACTTGTAACATTTTGTTGCGTAAATACAATGACTTTAGTGAAGTCGACAGTGCAATCGTTACACGTTTTTTAGCGTTAATTTAAGAAGGATAGAGAAGAATAATGTTTACCTTTTTGCTTATAATGTAAACGAAAGAGGCGTTGTTTCCGTACGAAAGAAAGCGAGAAAGGAAGAGTGCAAGAAAAAGAGAGTGAGAGAGAAACAGAGAGAGAGTGTATATTACTTATGAAGGAAATCGCTATCTCTATTAATGTACAAAAGCATTGTTAATTATGTTTTAGCATTGTTAATTTATTTGATCGCTTATCTTTTATCTATTATCTGTTACTTTTATCGTTGCCACCAAGAATTGGATTATTAAATTTTTATCATTCGAATCTTTTTAGCATTAGCATTCTTGTCAACATGTTAATACATATCAATTTGTCCGATAACGATAAATCACTGCCTTACCAATTATATAAAAAATTATATAAAAAATAATTCAAACTAACGATATAAATGTAAAAAATGCTTAATTTTTTTCTGAAAGGAAAAAAATTGTATAAGTGTGCAACGAATGTTTATTTTTATATAAAAATTATAAAGTATGGATAAATGTTGTTAGAGATAGCGAATTCTTTCAGAGAGATTATGTTTTGTTGTAAATTGATAAATTGTTTTTGACGAGTACACGTGTAAATACAATTTTATGTGCTGTAAGATCCACCTGTTGAATATTTCTATTCATAATTTTTTGAAATATTTCTACGGAATTTATTTTCGTTGAAGGAATATTGTAAGGCAGTGACTTAAGCATTAAAATATATGCATAACGTCTCCATCTTGATAAAAACAAAACTTTGTGATTCAGTGCAGTTTTCACCCTTGGGATTCATTAAAATTATGGAATAAAATTACAAATGATCAAATTTTCTTTTCGTTATGTATAACTGAACAGTATTCTCTAAAAAAAAAAAAAAAAAAAAAAAGAAGTGACCAATTATAATTAGTAAATTTAAGGTATCGTGCTTTGATGCTCCACAAAATTTGAATGATTTTGTCATTTTACATTTTTCATTCAATTTAAAAATTAACAATACACAATATATTGTAAACATTCAAGGCAAAAAATATTTCTTAAAATCATTTTTTGTTTATATTTCTGTTTACAACTTAGGTTTTAAATATATACAAGTTATATTATTTTATTATTATTGTACTATTCATAAATTTCATTTCACCCTATATAATTAAAATTTATTTAAATAATTTGAATTAATCTCTATGCTTGGAATTATATCAAAAAGTTTTAATAATAGGAAATATTTAAAACTAAATAGATATCAGCTTTTGCCAAATAATGATGTTCAATATATAAATACAAAAAATTGGATTGTGTGCAAAGATATTCTGTAAAAAAAGAAAAAAAAAAGTACTTATGATAATTAACAAAGTTCAAAATACACAAATACAGTGCATACAAAATATGCCTTACCAAATTATTCTTTAGAAATATATAAAGAAATAAAAACAAATGCATAACAATTATAAGACTGATAGTAAATTTGCTTGTTGTATTTTATTGTTCAAGCAAATATTAAATTGAAATTAAACTGAATATAAATATCTACAGGTATTTATATTATTCCTTTTATCTAGAAGTTCATAATGTAATTTAAAAATAAATATATATTTCATTTGTGAAAATTTTTGCAAAAATTACAAATTTTCATTCAAATTTTAATAGATTTTTGCTTTTTTGTTTAAGTAAATATTTTATAATTCATTTAATATACATAAGTAATAATATTAAATGAAACAAATTTGAATAAATTATACGTTATTATTCAATTTTACTATATAAAATTATTATATAAAGTAATAACCTCTTTGCTATAAAATTATTTTTCTTATTTGTTGTTTATTATCAATAATTCTCTAAATGCTCTCATCTAATATAATGATATATTATCTATAATAATGAAATATTATTTCTATTATTGTAATCAATTGATTAACTTTTGCAGAATATTCAAAATTATAAAAAATTTTTAAAATATTGTTTGAATTTAGAATTTCATTTCAATGTAAATTTCAAGATAATTTTCATGATTGTTTAATACAATATAATATAAACATATTTCAATAATTTTGAACAATACCTTCGATTAACTGCAATGAAAGCATAATAAAATGCTTGATGTTTTATAAATATTAGGTTAGGTTTACCCACAAAGCAATTTTGCTCATGTAGCATGATATATAAATTCGATGTTCAATATATTGACCTTGAGCTAGTGAACAGTCATTGGAGCTCATACTTGTCGTCATACTTTTGGCAGATACGCGCCTATATAAGTGATAAATTCAAAAGAAGACTGCAAATGTAACATAATTTAGCAAAATACGCGAGAGTAGATTCTCGCGTTTTAGTAAACGTTTACCGTCGAAGTGAGCAACTGTGGACACGAACCATGATTTTGCGTTTCACGATCTTTCTTGCTTTTTTGATTTTGACGATCGAAGCGAAGAAATATTTGCAATTTTCAGAAGAAGAACAATGGCAAGAGTTTGAAGAGTATATGAAATGGAAAAAGGCAAAGGAAATACGTGAAAATGGTCAACGAGAAATTAAATACGAAAAACGATATCATGAAAATCATGATATGTATAAATCGCCAAAAAAAGATCAACAATTTTCTGTCAATAATCCACCACCTATTAATCAGGCAGCTTTAATGGCAAGATACATTGTTAATCAAGCTGGTAAGAAAATATATTTTGAAAGAGAATTTATTTATAACTCTAGATATATCAACTATGTCATAATGTAATAAATGACACTAAATTTTTGCTTATTTTAAATTTTACACAAATATCTTATTTTTCAAAAGAAAGTATTATAAGTAAATAATAAATACAAAGAAATTATTAATATTTGTTAATATATACATTATATTATAAATATGAATCATTCGAGGAAATCACGAAGCGAATAAAAAAATGTATACATGCATGATATGTGCTTATCTATACTAAATATTAGATAGAGGTTAATATTAGAATTGCATTTATAATTACGCATATAATTAATTTTGGCAATTTATCAAATTTTCACAGTTTTAAATAAATACATATCATTTTATTTAAATTTAGTGAATTGTTTTCTAATTATATCAAATATTAAATATCGATTCGCGTAATGTAAGTGATTAATTATACATTTAATTATTAATTATAAATAATTAATTATTTCTATTATATTATAATATAACAGAAATATAATTCTTCGAAATTCAGTAGGAAAATTTATAGGAAATTTATAGGAAAATTATTTGAAAGAATGAATAATGAAATTAACAGTAAAAAAATGAAATATGAATGTCGAGATTAATGCATATATATAAATAATTTTTTTACGTATGAATATTTTCATTTCAAATTACATTATCAAATGTCAATTATTACATATCATATAGCATTAACCAATTTATTAATTTATTAATATTTTTATGCATACAGACTGGGTATCCGTGGCAACAATAAGCACAAGACAAGATATCAAATCGTTTCCAGCCGTAACTTTAGTTTCTTATACTGATGGACTTTTAGGAAATGGATCAGGAATACCATATCTTTATCTTACTCCTTTAGATTTCACAGCTCAAGATCTTGCAGTAAGTATTGTAACACAATAAAATCTATCTTCTTTATACGTATTTTCGTGAGAATGTGACTTTCGATATCATCAATTGATAAGATAGTAAACAATATTTTGATTTTTTCTTGTTGATTAAAATCTTCATTTAGTGTTGATAAGAATAAACACTAAATTATAATTAAAAATTTATGGTACTTAAAATACGATAATTAAAAATAATTTAAATTTCTATAATTACAGAAAGACAATCGGGCGTCATTTCTAATGACATTAGCTCAAGGGGAATACTGTAAGTCCAAACAATGGGATCCCATGGATCCTCGTTGCGCCAGAATTCTTTTAACCGGCAAAATCAAATCGGTTAGTATATTTTATTTTTTTAATTTATAATAATACAATTAATATAATAATATGTAATAAAATGTAATATATAAATAATTATTACATTTTTTTATAGTTGAAGAATGAAAGTATGGAACTAAATTTCGCTAAAAAAGTATTTTTTACACGTCATCCAGGATTGGTTAATATGCCTGAAGGTAAGAATTTTTTTAAAAAATATTATTGTTCAAAATATAATTTTAAAAAATTGTTTTCAATATTACAGATCATCATTTTTATTTTGCAAAATTGAAGATAATTTCAATCGTAGTATTGGATACATTTGGCGGGCCGAAATATGTTTCTGTGGAAGATTATTTACATCCACCAATAACGAATATTACTGAAGAATTTAATCGACATTTTCCCTTAAAATCTTATGAGAGTAAATCTCAAGAAGAATATAGTCCAGCCTCTAATATTTTAAATCCTGTAGTCAAACTTGTATAAATTAATAGAAAAATTAACATAATCATTAAGAAATTTTATACATTAAATTATTTTCTTTAAATATGGAAATTAATGTAATTAATGTAATATAATAAAAAAATTTATAAATTAATTGTAAATAATTATATTATTATTTTATATAAAAAAAAAGAATAAAAGAATAGTATATTTTTATAAGATCAAAATAAAAATATATAATGCATATCATTAATTTACATATATTAATAATTAATTATTATTTTCAATTAATGTTTTCAATGTGTACAATTGAAAAAGTTAAATTAAATTCCTAGTATTATCGCAATATGACATAGTATATTACTGTTTACTACAAAAATATATAATTATTTTTTTTTGTTTGAAACTCATGACAATGTCTATAAAAATTTATTTAAGACCATAAATCCTTATTAAAGGGTGATGTACAAATTTTGTGATATTAACTTAATTTAATATTTTAAATATGTACATTTTCGTAATATAAAAATTACGCGTTCTTAAAGTACATTATAAAGAATTAAAATATAGTACTCTTTAATATAGGACGTTATAAATTGCAATAGCTTTTGTAATTTGAATATCTAAGTTATTTTATACGCAATTATTGAATTATTTATACACATTTTACATAATTTATTTAAAAATATAAAATATTTATTATATATTAATATTAATTTTTTAAAAAGAAAAACATAAAAGAAAAAAATAATAATTTGATTATAGATTGCAAATGATGTTAATGTATAATTACAAAAGCTGACTAATTTATTTTTGCTACGTTTTTTTTACATTATTTTGTGTGCTTTTTCCATGAATAAGACTGGATGAGCTCAATATAACAGAAATTTGTTCTGGTAATGGACATGCAATTAGAAGAAGTTCCTCTGAATTATAATATTTACTCAATATCTGATATAATTGAGTAAATGCAGCACAAACATTATTTTTTACTGGCCTAAATAAAATAAATTCTGTCTCCTTATTAGAGAGATATAATTGCATTAATTGTTGAATTTCAGGACATTTAAATTTAATTATCCTCAATGCTTCACATATTGCTGCTGCAACATCTTGAGGATTTCCAAGAGCATGTTCTTGAGATGCATCTGGATTATTAGCATGTAATTTTTCCTTGTCTAATAGTTTTAAAATTGGATGTATTAATAAAAATGTAGCATGTTGTATAAGACGTTGGCAAGCATATTTCAATTTATTATCTACATGTTTTCTTGAATCTATTAGTTGTTCCTTCATTTGAGGTGCTCCTTCCAATAAAAATTCTAATAATGCATTATTTGATAATGTAAAAAGTCTTGAACTTTTTTCTAATAAACCAAATGCTGCTGTTTTAACTTTTGAAAAATCCAAACTATATTCCTTTATCGTAAAGTCTACTTGAAAAGGTGCAATTTGTTCACGTAAAATGAGCAAATGTTTTATTTGGAAAAGTTCTGCATCTAAAGATGATGCCCTTTTTTCAATTTCTTGCTTTGCATTTTCTATACTTTGAACACAAAGAGATATTGCTTCCTGACTCAAGGATTGAAAAACTGATCTGTCCACACATCTATATAATCTTGATAAACATACTAATGTTCTACGAACAGTAGGATACCACATTCCATGAAGATCTGCAGGTGAATTACCTATATGTGTTTTCTGATAAATAGAATCCATTTCTATATGATTTCTGGATATTGGTTCTAAAATATTATCATCATTAGATGAAATAGATATCTTTTTCATCTTTGTTTGTCTAGATTCTTCTCTTATTGATTCTGCTATATCTTCCATCATTTTTAACTTTTCTGGATAAGCTAAATCACCTGGTGATGGATTATAATTCAAAACATCAGATTGCAAGTATAGATGTGCACGGAACACAAGTCTCTCTTGTACATCATGTAATAACTGCAAACAAATATTTCCAAATCCTTCTAAAGGTTCAAAATTATTTTGAACATGTTCATCCAACATTTCAATTCTTAAAATGCAACAAATTTCAGCTAATGTTTCTAAATGATTAATGTGAATTATGAATGGTCTCAATGTATCATACAAAGAAGTACATAAGCTTTCAAGATATGCTGTTAATCCATTACTTGTTTTAGAAAAAAATTCATAAAATAATTTATATTCATCCATTGATGCATGTAATAATAATGCACATGAATTCCTTACCAAACTACAATGATCACCATTATATTTTTCCTTTACAGATATTAAAGATTTTTGAACACTACTACCTAATACTAATCCTCTTTGACTCCAATAACATTGATGGCACTCTGATAATAAACTGTCATATTCTTGTCTTTTATAAGATTTTGCTTCAATTTGTTCTATAACTGGCTTAGCTTTTGGCAATATAGTTTGAAATCTTCCATAAAAAAGGGCTAAAGCTGCATCTGCATTATCTTGGGAATCATCATTATCTTTTAAATTTAAAATGCTTTCTGTTGTTTTGCTAAATAGATTAAAAATATAATTTTGCATCATTGATATTGCCTTAGATTGGCAATGTTTATATTTAATTAAGTAAGTATTGCTTTCTTTAAATGAAAGATTATTTTGAACAAAATCTATATTAGTATCAATTTTATCTAATATATTAAAAAACATTTCACTGTTCACTGATAACGTAGGTGCTTCTAATTTTTCCATCATCATATCAATATCTTTAAAATATTTCACATATTCTGTAATATTTTCTATGATAGAATTTAATTTTCGTTGATCAGAATCAAGCTGTTCACTAGCATCATAAAGAGATATTGTTTTATCAGATACTTCGGAATATTGTTTATATAACATAGTGAAGTCTTCTAATGCTTCTTCTATCTGAAGACAAAGTTCATGACATTCTTGCCGTCGAGCTTCAAGTTCATTAAGATATAATATGTATTTCATATCTTTCCTGTCCACACATTTTTTTTCTAATCTGGCATAATGTTCTAGTAAATCTTGATATCGTTCTATTTGTACTGATTTTGTAGTTTCTTCATTTGTGCATACTGTATCACTTGTTTTTTCAGTCTTAATTTTATTATCAGGAAATAATTCTTCCTCCAAATTCAATAAACATTCTTTTTGATAATCAGTTAAAGGTGCCAGAGAATCTTCTGACAGATCCCATTTGGTTAAGTTATTTGGAATGTTTTTCATTTTAGACATGATTTCTTGTCAGTGATAATTAATGTTATGAAATGAATGATTTTAATAAAAGTGACACAATTGTGTACAACACGTACATACCGTTTTATAATATAAATTAAAAAATCCTCTTTAAAAATTTGACACCGTAGCAATTATGAATCATAATTGTGAAGTTGAAATAAATTTGGTGAATATAACGCAGGATATCCACCTTACGAAATATTAAAATCTATGTTAAAGTATAAAAAATATATATTATAAAATAAAGCATATGTACATAAAACATAAAACATATGTATAAAATAAGGCATAAAGAATTTAAATATTCATATCATATTTTATGAAAAATATTATTTCAGATCGAATAAAATATTTTAATTTATATTAATTTTATAATGAGAGATTTTTAATAAAAGGTTAAGGATTATATAATAAGAAAATAATTATTAATTTTTTTTTATCTTTATTGCGTAAATATTATTATTGCGAAAAAATTTAATCAAATATTTAAAATCTAAAAAACACAGAATATGCTTCTTGTCGCATATTTGTAAATCAGACTAGTTAATTTTGACGCATGCGTATAAAGAACGAATAAAAATCTGTCTATGAAAATAAGCACGATTGTATTTCTTCGTGTAAGTGTATTTCAACTGTGAAGGTTCGTAGCAAATTGAATCTCAAAATATCTATATAATCTTACTAAATAAATATTATTTATGTAATAATAAATGCATACTTAAGTTATTGTAATTTAATTAATTCAATATTAGATCATATAATGTGTATACTTTTATATTATTATGATTGCTAACCTAATTTGTATAAGTCACAGTTTTTAATTTTGCAGGATGGCTCCAAGATTTGAATTAGCAGTTGGTCTTAATAGAGGCCATAAAACAACTAAAATTCGTGTGGCAAAAAATAAAAATGAGAAGAAAAAAACAGTATGTGTTTTACCAGCAAGATTAAAAGGGGTTAGTATACATTCTATTGTTTAGAAATATTCTTGTTGTTATATTTGTTATTTTTTTACGTTCTTTTTATTAATTATTAATTAAGATTTTTTTAAATTAAGAATTTTATTGAAAAGTATAAAGATAATAAAAAATAATTAATATAATAATGATTCTTAATATAAAATTTTTAATTTTAGAGACAAACTAAACATAGCAAATTTGTCAGAGACTTAATTCGTGAAGTAACTGGTCATGCACCATATGAAAAACGTGCTATGGAATTGTTAAAAGTTTCCAAGGATAAACGTGCATTGAAATTTTTAAAAAGAAGGGTAAGAATGTTAATAAATTTTATATAACCTTAAATTTTTTTTCTTTCTATCTGTTTCTATCTATCCAAATAAATAAACAATTTCATATTCCATTCTTTTAAATTTTATAGTTGGGTACACATATCAGAGCTAAAAGGAAGCGTGAAGAACTTGGAAATATTCTTGTCCAAATGAGAAAAGCTGCTGCACATCATTAAATAATATATTATTAAATTTTTATAATAAGTGTATAATAAAAACTATACATGAAAAAAAATTTTTTTTTACTTTACATAAAAAATTCTTTTAAATCTATTTTAAATTAATATAAATTATATATAATGTTATATCAGTTATTTGTATCAGAAATTAAAATGCAATGAAATAACATTGCATTTGGAATAAAAGAAATTATATATGTAAGTGAATTAATCGTTAATCATTTGTAAGTTTGATTTATAGAATTTAGCATTTTATATATATATATATATATATATATATATATTTATTTATTATAGAAAATATTTATAATCGTAATTAAAATGTATTTCAATTTTCGCGCGGATTTAAGCGAATAAGAAACGATATAGCTTCAACCAATCAGAAAACTGATAGGCGATTCGATGCGCATGTCCATGACATGACGTCAGTTTGTTCTTGAAAATTGTGGTAGCAGGTTGCATTTCATCGGTAGTGATTAATTTGATTCTTACTTGTGTAAATTATTGTTTGATGAGTTTAAAAGTGTGACCATAATAATGAAAAGGTAACTTTTATATAAATATGATAAGATTTTCTTTATTATAATAAACAACGTAGTTTTATAATCAATTTTAATTTATATATTATCGCACATTTCATTCCTAAATGCGTACGTCTAACCGTACGTTCAATTCGTGTATTATTGTTATGTTTGTTTTGATTTTACACTTAAGAACCCAAGACTAAAAACATTTTTTATAATATTACAGCCTTTTCGAGAAATTAATAGTTTGCGTTCATGTCGTACTCGATAGATTCCGATTTATCGAATTGTCGAACAAATCCTTTCCTCAATTTAATTCGATATTGAAATCGCTACGCGTTCGAGATATCATTTTGTTCTCGAAAGTTGTGACGCTTAGACTCTTCGTTTCAGGTGCGTAATTTATTTTGTATAATACTTATTTCCATAGTTATTTTTCTGTTTTTTGGATACTATTCTTTAATTAATTTAATAATATATTGAATATTATTATAATTGATAATATTTTGAAGAATAACTTATTCTTTTCTCTTTATTTGTCTGTTTGATCGTTAACGTTACTAGTGGTTCATATTATAAATTTCTAAGATGATTTAATCTTAGTTATTGTTTTATTTTAATGCAATAAATTCTAATTTCATACATTTTCATATATTTATTTTATATTTAATTATTTATAATTAAATATTTAATTATCTTTTATGCAGATTAACATCTAACTGGTGAAATGATTTTCAAGGCGGGAAAAAGGGATCAAATATGGACGCCACAACGAATATTCCAACGATGTTCAATTTGATAACTTTTCATAATGGAGTGGTAAAGTTTGATTTGTTATATTAGAAACAAATACGATTATTATTTATGTTTGTTAAGTAATTCATAATATATTAATTAGGATAATATATATTATTAGGATAAAAATAGAAAAGATTAAAATAATTTTTTATTTTAAATTTCTTTTTATTTTAAATAGATTAAATTAATTTTTAATATAATATTTTTTTATAAACAATATTGTTATTTCACAAAAACATAGCACTATTTTCTTAAACAAACACTTTATAGAAAAAAGAAGAAAAATATTGAAACAATATTTTACTTCTTTTCACTCCGCCCCATTTTTTATTTTCAGTGAACTTTTGTGATCGCGCGCAATGCGGTCAGTAGAATCAGTGTTTGCTTCGTAATAATGTTTTCAATGTTCTTTAGAGCAAAACTGCTCTAATTTAATTTAATTGTAATAGTTAATTGTAATAGTTTCGCGAAAGTAGAGTCAGTGCTTGTTCATCGATTATAATATATAAACGGACGTGTTAATAGCTTCTTATTTTTTTTTTTTTTTAAATATTCGTTTTCGGTACAGAGATGTAGAGTCAGTGCTTCTCTCAAGAATATAAGACAATCATCCATCACGTGAAGAGGTAACTATGTTTTTTATTCTATTTTATTCATTAGATTTCTAATTTTTAAATTTTATATTTTTAATTTTATTTGTTATTCTTTTGCTATTGAAATATTTCTGAATAATTTCTATTCTGAATAATTAATACTATAATTTTATAAAAAAATATGTGATATAATATGTTTTATATTTTATTTAAGGTGCTGATAGCTTTGTCTTCTCCTGGGCTTCATCAGTTTTAAAAAACATTTATGACTGCGTGCAATGCAGTTCATAGAATCAGTGTTTATTTCGTAATAGTATTTTAAGTATTTTTTTAGAACACAACTGTTCTAATATAATTATAACAACTATTCGTGAAAATAGAGTCAGTGTTTGCTCGCTCATTGTAATTTAAGCAATCGCATCAATGATTTTTTATTTTATTTTTTTTTTCTTTTTTCCTTTTTATATTCGTCTCGCGTATATATTAGAGTCAGTGATTCAAGAGCATAAGACGATCATCCATCACGCGAAGAGGTAATTATTTTTTTTAATTTCACTTTTTTTAAATAATCTTTATATATATATATTCAATATCATAAATTACAATAATCTATTTTTTATTACAGTTTCTACTTCCTATTATTCAATGACGACTTCCCATGGATCAGCACCAATGCAGATTTTTCGCATCTTTGGTGAGTCGCATGCATTTTGATTCCTCCGGTCATTCAATCATGTCGTAGGATGAAAGATCCGAATCGACACGGATGACTGGTTGTATACGTAGAATTTTGCACGAGCACAGTGACCACGGGTATTTATTATACTCGTGAGTAGTGATATTTCTTTTTTTTTTCGTTTTATTTATTAGTTCAGGCTAGGTCTTCTTGTACATCGCGTTTTTTAATTATTAATAACTTTCCAAGTTAATTATCTCTAAAGTTAAATTATTATAACTGTAAAATATTCGTTATGGATATTTGCAAACATATCAAGTATCTAAACATGAATATTCGTGTATGAATTAGATTCGATTAAATAAAAAATCATAATTTAATATCGATTTTCAAGTAATTATAATAAGAGATAAAAGAAAATAAAATTTTATCGCTCTCTTTCGTTTGAAATTATTAAATATTATATGCAAGAAGACATTTCGCGACAGGTAGACTTTGAAATCAAAGCTATAAGTTTTGAATATTTCTTTCATATTTTAAAATGTGCTTTGATGAAGGAGTCGCCTGAGGGTATTTTCATTAATATTTAATTTTCAATCTCTTATAAATATATATATTTTTATTTATAATATTTCCTTTTTAATCAGTAATTCTTTTTATAAAATATTAGAATAAATAATAAACAATTTATTACATTGACAAAGAATAAAGTAGAAAATAGAGTCATTCAAATGTTAAATAAAATAAGAATACAAATGATCAAAGTTCATTAGCTCGTTAATATTTATACTAATATATCTTTTTAGCTCAGGATTTTCAGGTTTAACCCCTTCCGTGTTCGTTGCCAGGATCTCACTCACGTGCCCAGGTGTTACTTGGGTGAGAGAGAGGCGATGAGCATGATGATCCTAGTTTATAAGTTTATAACAATTTCTCAGCGATTGACGATGCGTTAGTATATCGTGCGCGACGTATTTTCCACATTGTGCGTATGTGTGTGTGGATAGGCTGTGGGATTGCGTCGTTTTAACAATTATTAATTACAATATATATATATGATAGCAATATTACATCCACTATATATTAAAAATAATAACTATTAATCTTATTATCAAATTATAATAATAATAATATTTTATTTCAATCTTATTCCAATACGATCCGAATATTCATAATTAAATTCGAATAAAATTATACGTATATATAAAATTTTATTTCACGCAATGATTACTAGCCATCGTCAGTCGATTTCAGGAAAATGGTACGTAAAGTTAGAGTGTGAAAGTAGCGTGCCAAGCTCGGGTGTCGGAGGCGTCCCGGGACGCTTTCCCTAGTGTAGGCTTTTTGCGCCCGAGCATTATGCGTGAGAATCGTTGAATGAATGCGTTGGTGTGCCTGTTTTGCCATTTTTTAAATATAGGGTCAGGTAGGATAGGTAGTATACTTCTGGTGCGAATGTTAATTATAAGTAGGTAGGGCCGGGCAGGTTGTCACAGTCTCTGCACGGGTAGGCGCGTTTCTCGCGTGACAACCTGTTTCAGGAAATTAAATTTGAAAAATCGAGAGCGAGGCCGAGACGAATGATCGTCGAATCGATTATTCGTTTCTGGCTTCGCTCATCGATCTTTCGAGTTCGCGGTCGCGGTCGCGAATGGTTTTTCGAAACGAACGTTGCGCTCGAGATTCTGCACATGTACGGACAATGGTCACTGCGATCGTTAGTCGTCCATGTGCTAGTTTCCGCGATTTAGTTAGTCTTTTTTTTTTATTTCTTTTTTTTTTTTGTTTACGATTCTCGATAGCGAATCTCGAGCCTAGATTTAAGTTTCAGCGGGCATCGCGCCCGAAGGAGGAAGACCGAAGAGGCCTCGACAAACTGTCGCGAAGAGGGGCTGCAACGAATGGCTTCTCATTTTTTTCGATCTTGCTTCGATCCAAAGAATGGGAAGTCATTGTTACTACTTTGTCACTGTGCTCGTTTTAGTAATACGTAGTATATGTTGTATTGTTTTGGCCAATTTGCATGCTGGCCCATCGTTTATCCAGTCGTCGTGGGCAACTCGCGATTTTGCATTAGTGTTGCGCTAAATAAAGTACGGGTTGAATTAGTGTTGCGATAAAATGATGATCGCGTTTTTTATTGCGTTACAAAATATGTTATAGCGATTATTTTAATTATTTTGATTATGAATTAGTCTATTTTTTATTATCTTTTTTTTTTTTTTTGAATTGAATTTATTGTATAAATATTGCAATTTATTGATGAGATATTTGAAGTAGCTTTTTATTTATAATAGCAAATTTTGTATTAAATTTATTTTAAGAATTAGTGTTGCGTTATTAATGAACGATCGCGTTGCTTAAAGTAGTGTTGCGTTTTAACAAATGTTGCCCATATTTCTTCCACTTGGATTGTGGAATACACATGTTCCTGGACTGCCTATCGCAGCTAGAAGAAGAGCTGCACAAGGGTGGTTATATAACGGCAGCTTCTCATATGGCTGCAATATTCCGTTATTAGTGTTGCGTGCAATAAAATATGAGTGCATAAAATAGTTTATTAGAGTTTCGTAAATACTTATTAAAACACCTTATTGAGGGTGTATGCTTTCGCGAGTCTTGCATCTTTTTTTCTTTTTTATTTTTATTTATTTATTTATTTCTTTTTTTTGTTGAGATTGCATTGCAAATATAACAAAGCACTCTTCGTGTTTTCTCTTGAGAATTTAGTAGATTAGTGTTGCGAAATGGGAAAAAATATTCCACTCACGGTTTGTTCGGGTTTACATTGAGTGGATATTTAGAATAGCCCTTCTGGCTATTTATTCTTTCTCTTTTCAGCATCCCTTTATTAAAAGCGTTTGTTATTAAAAATGCTATTAAAAAAATATATTTCTTTTTTACTGATAAATGTCTTTCATTTAAGATTATGAATTACTTAACAATATTTTATTAATTTTTTTTGGTATTAAATTTTTCATTTTTTTTTAATATAAATTATTTTTTAATTATTAATCCAGTAATTAAGTTTGTTACAGGTATGAACTGAAGAAAAGAAATAGAAGAAATTTAATTATGTGTACCATTTGACTTCATCACGTGCAAAAAATTAATGTTATTGAGTTTTACTAATTCTATTTTATAATCTGTTTCAGGATTCGATAGAATGAAATAGAAGATCTTTTTCTTTATCATTAGATACATCTTCCAATTTTTATATTAGGATCAAAGAAACGTTTAGCTTTTCTTTTTTTTTTCTTTTGATAGATAGGATTTATAAATAATGTATTTAATGTTCTATTCTTCCTCTTATTAGAAGGCATCTTTGCCTTTCCTATTTCGTTTCAAAGTTTCCGGAAACTTCCTATCTTTCAAGGCAACGTGATCATGGATCGCTTGCCATCCCTAAACTTTTTCACTCTACATCCTTAATACTTGACACCTATGTGACGTCGTTCATTAATCATCGTTGGTATTGTCTATACATCCTCATTTGCATTTTCCCTGATCACATGTGGTTTATGTCGTATCATGAAAATTGTGATGTTGTTAATCCTCTTAGCTTTTAGAATAGGTAGGATATTTGAAATGTTGTATTTATTTGTATTATTTGTATTAATATTGTATTATTTTGTTTCAGCTGAAGATTATACTATAAGAAAAAAATTGATTAAATAAAATACATTTTAGAATTAAGTGCATGCATGATAAGTAGATAAAATAATGTACATAAGTAGATAATGGTGTAGAGCTTTATGGGTTGCTTATTTTTGCTTATTTTGCTTATTTTGCTTATTTTTTTTCTTTTTTTTTACGCTTTTAATTATTAAAAAGAATTTCTAATTTTCAGATTTAGTCTTCCGCGCCGGTTTTTTTTCTACGGCTTCTTTTGTTGTTTCTTTTGTTGCATAACGATTAATAGTTTGAACGTTTTGCAACTATGCATCAAAAGAAGAATTTTATTTGAAATAATTTATTTGAATAAATTTTTGCGTAAAGGAGGGTGGATGGGACCGCGGCTAGAGTGGTTCTCCAATACGCGGCAACCTTCACGAGGTGAGACCCGGGCAATCATTATTATTTCATATATAATATATAAGTGTATCGTTGTAAAGTTAATATCAGTGATGCAATTATATGTTATATAAAAAATAATATAATATATAATATATAGCTATTTGGCTGCGAGCGCGATGATTATATTATAATGATTATAATTTATAATTTATATACAGGTACTTAGAAAATTTTTTTACGATAATGATAAAATTCCATTATTTCTAAATTTATAAAATAGAAACAGAGATTTTTAGTTTTTATTGTGATTTAACTCTAATTTAGAATTCTTGTAGGAATTCAGGTTTGTAGTTGTAGGTATTTCAGGTAATAAGGTAGAAAGCGATACAAAGTTATTCAATATCTCAAGAGATGTCACTGCGTTCAGATTCTTATTTTTTGAAATAAATGTAAATAAAAATTTTAATTGAGAATCACTGAAGTTCTAACATGTCTTCTAATTTAAATCAAATTTATTTATTAATTCAGATTACAATTCAGTATGATAAAAGTTTTATGAATAAAATTTGATTACTTTTGTTTTTATAATCAACGTTTAAATTAATTGCGTGATAAAATATGCTATAATTAATTTTCTGTAAGATTTTCATACATTACATAACCTATTTATAAATATGAACAGTGCTATGTTATGTTCACCAAAATTAAGTAGACTTTCCAAAATTTGTAATATAACATTAAATAAATGGTTTTTGGAAAACATCATTCAATATAACAGTATAATATGTCATAATTTTCAACAATGTCAAACACTGCATGCAACTGTTATTCGATCGGAAACTATTAAAGAAGTTGAAAGAAAAACTAATGACTTGGACCGCTTTAGAGATTTAACAAAAACTGGTCCATCGCTCAAAGATTTTTTATCTAAAAGTGAAATTCCCATTGATTCTATTAGTGTACCAAATATTCCTTATATACAAAATATAAATGGCTCTGATCAAAAAGGTAAGTAAAAAAAACAATAATGAATAAAATAATTAGGAGTTTAACATCAAAAAAAAGTATATTTATAAGTTTGATTTATATTATTAATTTTTTTTATTAGTATATTTTGAAGTTCATGGTTGTCAAATGAATGTAAATGATACAGAAGTGATCTGGTCTATTCTGAAATCTCATGGTTACAAAAAAGTGGAAAATATAAAAGAAGCTAATATAATTCTATTTATTACATGTTCTATTAGAGATAATGCAGAGCAAAAAATATGGAATAAGTTAACTGATTTAAATCACGTAAGGAAAAAAAAGAAAAAAAATCCTATAAAAATTGGTTTGTTAGGTATGATTGTAAATTTATGGATAAATAATTTATTATGAAATATATATATCTTGCAATAATGTTATTCATATTACGATAGGATGTATGGCAGAACGATTAAAGGATAAAATATTAGAAAGAGGAAAACTTGTTGACGTGATAGCTGGGCCAGATAGTTATAAAGATTTGCCACGATTATTATCTGTACCAGACAATGAAACTGCTATAAATGTTCTTCTATCATTTGATGAAACATATGCAGATATTACACCAGTGAGATTGAATCCAAATTCTACCAGTGCATTTGTGTAATTTATTATTTTTTGTGTTATTGTAATTCATAATTAATTATAATTATTTCAAAATTTTTCTATTTTTTTAGCACAATAATGCGCGGTTGTGATAATATGTGTACTTATTGTATTGTACCATTTACAAGAGGAAGAGAAAGATCAAGACCAATTGAAAGTATAGTCAAAGAAATTCAATCTTTATCGGACGATGGTGTAAAAGAAGTAGTACTTTTGGGACAAAATGTAAATAGTTATAGAGATATGTCTCAATCAAAATTTTATACTAATAATATGGAAACACATTTAGCAAAAGGTTTTAAAACAGTCTATAAAAATAAGAAGGGAGGACGTCGATTCTGTGATTTGCTGGACGAAGTTTCTCGTATTAATCCGGAGATGAGAATCAGGTACTAAGGGACTTAGAAATAAATATTTGGAAATAATTATAATTACATCTTTCGTTTAAATTTATGTTAGATTCACATCGCCGCATCCCAAAGATTTTCCAGATGAAGTTTTACAATTAATAGCGGAGAGGCCGAACATTTGTAAAGAAATTCATTTACCCGCGCAAAGTGGTAATTCCAGGATTTTGGAAAAAATGAGGAGAGGATATACACGAGAAGCGTATATAGATTTAGTGCATCGCATACGTCAAATTATCCCAAATATTTATCTTTCCAGTGATTTTATTACTGGATTTTGCGGAGAAACGGAGGAAGAATTTCAAGATACATTATCGTTGATAGAATTAATAAAATATAACAAAGCTTATTTGTTTTCTTACAGTATGCGAGAGGTAATATCTATTTTAAAAAATTCATATGTTATATGATATTTTAAGAATCGAAAGTATTTTTATTATTAATTTTAGAAAACGACTGCGCATCGTCGTTATCAAGATGACGTACCACCGAATGTGAAACAAAATCGGCTCGAAAGAATGATTTCAATATATAGAACCGAGGCGGAAAAATTGAATAAATTACAAATTGGACAATCACAACTTGTGCTTGTAGAAAAGGTAAGACAATTTACTTCTACTTTTAATTAACGTTAGAATTATATTAATAAAATATATAATTAATTTTAGCTCAGTAAACGATCGCACGATTCTTTTCAAACAAAAAATGATGGTAATACGCGAGTAATAATTCCTTCCATGTCCATACCTATTGGAAAACATTCACGTGACGAGAAGCCAATAAAAATTGGTGATTACGTTGTCGTAAAAATTGAAAACGCTAATTCCTATACATTAATGGGTAAACCTCTATATCATTCATCGATAACAGAATATGCATCTTCATCTGCGTTGTAAATAAAAATAAAATATGATTTTCGAAGATTTCATTTGTTATTTAATCACGCTTATTGTTGCATAGTACATTCAGTTTTGGAACGAGACACGTATAATTTAAATTACAATGATACAAAATTAAATCGACGTATTTACTAGTAATACAATAATATTGTGAATAAAAAACGAAGCATTTAGATAATAAATAGATATAATTCGATCTATCGTTGACAGTACATGGCAATTTATAGGTAAGTAATTTTTCCTGTTACGAAGATGTTATTAATCATCTGATCAGAGCGTTATAATACCGATTAAAAAAGAATTATCTATACTTAATCTACTCCATTTCTCTTTTAATACTTTTATTTTCTTTTTATCTTTTTAGAATTTCATCAATGAAATTTCTCGTGACAATAAATACGATCGTGATCGTCCAAAAAAAGAGATTTCGAATACACTAAAAATCTTACAATATTTAACATACACATACCTACAAGTTATTTACAAAACGACAACGTTTTATTCTTTGAAACGAGAATCATTTTGTACAAGAGAATCTTAAATTTTATACATATCATTTTTAAAAAAAAGAATTACATTAACACCTGAGTAGAGTATTTAATTTATATATAAAATATCGATGTCTTTGGAAGTGTGTAAGAATTTGTTTCCAAACAACGTATTATATCGTTACGCGTACGTGTTAAACGAGACTCGCTGTTCCAATATTAATAACACAGTTGTCGGCACCGCGTTCGTAGACCGTAAGATCGTGATTTCTCGGTTGTTCTAAGAGTGCGGCCAATTGTTCTCCACTGGGAAATGCTTTCGGATTAGTCGGAAGAATTACATCGCATTCTAATTGACCTAAAAAAAAAAAAAAAAAATGCATTTTTATTCTACAAAAACGATCAAAGAATAAGAATAGGAACAAAGAAACGATATAAAAGGTATTCTTACCTGATAACGAAGGTGAAGCACCTTTGCTGGAACCATACATGCGAGTGCTGTATCCGGAATCATTGTGCGCGTCATGCAAAGGCGGCGTTGGGCTATAAACCGCATTACGGGACCTATATGGCATTCTGGCGATGCTGTCGTAATGCACGTGCTCCGATATCACTCCTTTTCCAGAGATCCCTCCGCTCAATGCTTCTGGTTGCTCGTCATCTCCTTCGCTGCTTTCGCTGTCATTCCCTAATTCGATGTAAATTTCAGTTTCGATGTAATTTTTGTCAATCGATTTAACAAAAAAAAAAAAAAAAAAAATGAAAAGAAAAAAAGATTGCTCCATTTTATTAATATAAAAAATTTTTTTCCAGATCTGTTTCTATCGATTCGAGAAATAAAATAAGCGTATAAGATAGATTCTCACCTTCGCCACGCCACGTATTTCCTACACCACCTTGCGGTTGGACCCTTTGATTTTGAGAACACTGACTGTGCTCCGGACTGGTGGGTTCGCTGCTTCCAGAACGCGGCCCCCTCCAACCGTTGTGCATGCCAGGTACTTGTTGAAATCGCTTAATCATCTCATGAACGCTTCGTCGTCCCGAAGATTTCCACTCGTTCGAGGTATCCTCGTTCTTCCTCGCCGCGTTGCTCTCGTCCTGGCACGAATTTACGCCATGATCTCGAGATGATAGATCCTGCGACAATTTCGACAATCGCGATTTTTCTCACTTTCAAATCAAATTACGCCTAATAATCTACGTACAACGTTTCGAATATTTTCATATTACGTTCTCGGTGTTGTTCAAACTGCTGGACAAGATCATCTTGTTGACTCTCCTATGATCAATTTTCCATTACCATTTTATCTCTCGATCTGGTTCATAAACCCTCGAGTCTACTAACTACTCCGACTCGATAATTCAAGGGGGATAAAAAAAAAAAAAAGAAGAAGAGAGAGAATAGAGATAAAACAATTATCTTCGTCTCTATAATACCGCTTGATTAAAACCCGGAGCAGACGTAGCAAGTAAGTAAGTAACCAGAGGGATCGATCCGATCTGCTGCTTTTAAAGGCACGACTAACCGTTCCCCGCATCGTTCTTCGTAACGTGTCATTAGAGTCTCGCAGCTTAATCAACACCTCTCATGAACGCTTAGCGTAACTAACAAAGAGAAAGAAAGAAGAATAAGAAGAAAAAGAAAGAGGAGAAGGAGGACCGATTACACACTCACGCGTTGCTGATGGACCTGTTGCCTGGACCCAATGGAGGGCGAGGAGGCGGCGCCTAGCGGCGAGCTTCGATCCTGCTTGATCACCCCGTCGAACGTTTCGTTCAATCTGGCAGGCGCGTCGAGTACCCTAAGCGTTGACCTCGAGACACCAGAGCCGGAGGGAAGATCCCTCATCGACTTGCTCAGCCTCGGTATAGCGGGAATATCAAGATCGTCCAAGCTGCCACGATGAATCGACGTCTCTCCCGGGATCTCGAAGCTTCTATCGTGGGGTCTGTCGTCGAGAAGATCCTCGAGCGACCTCGCCCGAGCAGGTGGGAATTGTTGATCGTTGGCGAACGCCGACGACGTCTTGGCCGGCCTCTCGCTGTGCCTCCCCTTCCCGCCCCTCGAAAGACGCTGCTGAAGATGCATGTGCCTCTCGTCGCACCTCGACCTCTCCGCCGCCACGCATCTCGTCAACTCCGATATCTGCCCCCTCGTCCTCCTCTCCAGATTGGCCACCTTCAAATCCAACCTTTCGTGGGCCTGATCTATGTGCGCCTTCAGCTCCGCCTTGTCCCTCTCCAGCTTGGCCTCCATGTGCCTGAAGAAGGGGGCGCAGTAGCACGTGTACCCCACCCCCACGGGCCCCTTTCTGATGTTTCCCGCCAAGTCCAGGTAATATTGTTCCCCGCGGCCCAACGGATCCGGCGGCAACGAGTCCAACCGCGGTTGGGGAAACGCTTCCGGATCGGGATAGTAATGGCATCCGTAAGGGGACCACTGTCTACCCATCACGGCCTTCTCGAAGTGGACCTTGTTCTGCTTACTCGACGATTTGTGCTTCTTTTTCTCCTTCTTCCCGCAACTGTCCCTGCTCCCGCTGGTCCCACTACCGGTCTTCTCTCGCTTCTTCTCGTTCTTGCTCCCGCTCTTCCCGTCGACCTTGTCGGCCAGAGTCGCCGGCGTCGCCTCCTCCTCGCGACTCTTGCTCCGGCCCCTGCTCTTGCTTCGCGCTTTACCGATTATCTCCAATATCTCGGCGAGGTTCTTGCGCCTCGCTATGTCCTTCGCGGTCTCTCCCTGCTTGTTCCTCAGGCTACGGTCGCAGCCCGCCTCCAGCAGGATCCTCGTCAACTTTCGACGCCCCATCGCCGCCGCGATGTGCAACGCCGTGTCGCCGTTCTGCCACACATTCGGAATATAACGTTTAACTCCATCCACCGTTTCCTTTTTTTTTTCCTTACAACGGATTTTTTTACAACGGAGATACGATGCATCGCGAGGGAAACTTTTTTAGATTAGGAGGTACTGATATTCGAGCAGGTTTTAAATTAGGAATCTATTATTTTTCTAAATCAATGGAGATACGTGAACGATGCATCGCGAGGGAAGCTTTTTTAGATTAGGAGGTATTGATATTCGAGGAGGTTTTAAATTAGGAATCTATTGCTTTTTTTCGAAATCAATGGAGATAGGAGAATGATGTGAGGAAACTTTTTTTACTTAGATTAGGATTGATTTTCGAGGTTTTAAATTAGGAATCTATTGTTTTTCTATTACTTTTCTAAATCAATGGAGATACGTGAACGATGCATCGCGAGGAAAGCTTTTTTAGATTAGGAGGTATATTGATATTCGAGGAGGTTTTAAATTAGGAATCTATTATTTTTCTAAATCAATGGAGATACGTGAACGATGCATCGCGAGAAAATCTTTTTTACTTATTTAAATTAGGAGAATTATTGATATTCGAAGACATTTTAAATTAGGAATCTATTGCTTTTTTTCTAAATCAATGGAGATACGAGAATGATGCAAGCAAATCTTTTTTAGATTAAGAGGTATTGATATTCGAGGAGGTTTTAAATTAGGAATCTATTGTTTTTATTTCTAAATCAATGGAGATACGAGAACGATGCGAGGAAACCTTTTTCATTTGGATTAGGAGATATTGATATTCGAGGAGGTTTTAAATTAAGGATCTTTTTTCTAAATCAACGGAGACAGGAGAACGATGCATCGTGAGGAAATCTTTTTTATTTAGATCGATGGATCGTTTTTGCGGGGATATCGATATTCGAGAAGGTTTTAAATTAAGGATCTGTTGCATTTTAAAATCTTACCTTGTTTTGATCGGACACGCGGCAAAGGGCGGAGATCAAGATCCTCGTAACACCTGCGTGCCCGTACCTCGCAGACGTGTGCAGCGGCGTATCCCCGTACTGAAAATTCAGGAATCTTTTCCGAGTCTTTCACCTCCATCTCGACTTATAACGTTAGAAACGCGAAACGAGGCGTAATAAAAGTCGATCGTATTTATAACGGCGGTTAAAATAAAAGGTTCGAAAGGGGGAGTTGCGCGAAAGAGGAAACCGAGAAACAAAAGAAAAGGAAAAAGGGGGAAAGGAGGGGGGAGAAGGAAAGGAAGGAACGAAAGTTGGCCTATTACTCACGTTGTTTTGAAGGTCGGGATTGCAACCGGCCAGCAGGAGCTCGCGGCAGCTTTGGTTGTGTCCATTTTGGCAGGCGAGGTGGAGCGGCGCGAATCCAGCGAGATTCCTCGCGTGCAAGGGTGCACGTTGGGTCCCCAGAGCCTTGGCCAGGGCTGCCACGGTCCTGCTGTAACCTCGCCACGATGCCTCGTGCAAAGCTGAATTTCCATGCTGGAACACATGCGTCGGTTCGATTCACGTTAAAGAAGGAACGGACGAGAGCCTCGAGGATGATATCGATCGATCAAAGCCTCTCCTCTTTGACGGTCGATCGACGGTCGATGGAAAGAGAAAGGGAGAGAGCGAGAGAGAGAGAGAGAGAGAGAGAGAGAGAGAGATGTGGTCGGTTTGAGAAAGAGGGGGAAAAAAGAAGGGAAGGGATTTGCGGAAGATATAGAAGAGGATATCAGAAGGCGGCGGCCTGTTTGGCTCGTAATCGGATACGAAATCGGGCAAAACGACGACAGATCGTCGTTAATCACCGTTTCTCCGTCCATGACCGATTCGTAGCCTATCTGTCGGATGACTCTTAATGACGATTAATTGATTTATTTCGCTTGGAGGGATGGGCGAGGCTGGTCAAGCTTGAGTAACAAGTAAGTTACCTCGTTTCTTTCCTTTTTCTGGACATATTTCTGCTGTAATTTAATTATGATCGCTTAGATATCTGTTTTCCCAGTACACGTGGTGGATGACGTGGCCGGTTAAAATTATCGATAAAGAATTTCTACGTGGGAAAGGATATATCGATATTGGCGGGCCGAGATAATATAATAAAAAGAGAGAAAAAAAAAAAATGAAAATTCCGTGCAATTAGTTCACGAATGAGGTAAGAACAAGGTGTAATTTGTAAGTTAAGTTAGGTTTCCTTACTTACGAGAAGGAGAAGGAATCAAACGTAATAAACAGCATTTCCCGTACGCGATAAAATTATATTTGCAGGCTGGTAAACACGCCAATCGTACAAGTTAGTGCGTACACGAACGCGTAAACGTCCGGAAGGGAAGGGAAGGGAAGGGAAGGGAAGGTAAATGGAGACGTGAAACCGTTGGAACGTACCTCCGGGAACTCAGCCAAGCTTATCGTGGGCGGTTCCCTTCAGGGTGGGTAATGTCGCACACTACATCACAAAATGCCTATTCAATTTAGATCAGGACGGTGCCGTGCGTCGTTTCGTTCGCCACTCGTCCGGATAAACGTCCACGATATCCCGATTTTCTGCATTTTTGCATCCAGAATAATCGAATCGTTCAGTCTCCCGTGCGCGATTGATTTCTTTTTTCGGAAACATCCAATTTTTTCGAGTCTACCCTTTTGAATTTTTAAGGGAATTCTTTTTTTAATCTTTTAATTTAGAGCTCTCTTGCGACTTTTCCTTTTTTTTTTTTTTTTTTTATTTTAATATTCTATCCGAAGAAATTCTCACCCAATGAACTTCTTGCAAGAGATATTTTGTGGCGTTTTAATCTTTCGGTTTACGATCTTTTTTTTTTCTTTTTTTTTCCTTCGATTTTCAATACATCGTGTTAGATATTGAAATGCGTTGTCTATTATAATAAATTATATTTTTTCGAGTCTACCTAAGAGTTCTTTTTGAATTTTTAAAGGAATTCTTTTTTTAATCTTTTAATTTAGAGTTCTCTTGCGATTTTTCCTTTTTTTTTTTTTTAATTTTGTATTTTCTAATATTCCAAAGAAATTCTCACCCAATGAACTTCTTGGAAGAGATATTTTGTGGCGTTTTAATCTTTCGGTTTACGATCTTTTTTTTTTCTTTTTTTTTTCCCTTTGATTTTCAATACATCATTAGATATTGAAATGCGTTGTATTCAGTTTACTATAATAAATTATATTTATTATAGTAGGAAGAATTAATAATAAATATTTAGGAAGAAATATTTAGGAAGAATTTTCGTCGAAAAATCGAAAAGATGAAAGTTCGAATTGAAATGAATGATTTTGGCTAGATATCGTGGCAAGGATAATAAATATAATATCGTTATCCGTGACGTGTCATCACTTTCGGTTTGAGAGTGGTTATAATCTATAATCTTGGTCACATTAGCCCTATCTTTAACTTGAAACGATGATTGGAATAAAGGCTCGTAAAATCAATAGGATTAGAAATAGAATAGGATCGAATAAAATCCAATTATCGTAAAATTAAAATTTTCAAATTTTAATTTTCAAATTAAAAATACATCGTTCTACATCTACCCTCTACGTAATTGTTAATACATTGGAATATTCGTTATTTACTTTCGATTCTCGATAACATCGTGGGATTTGAAAGTTACACGCCCATCTCGTTTTTCTCGTTTTATCATTATATCATTGCTTCCCCCCCCCCATCAAGCAATCAATTTATAGCGATCATTAGCTTCCATCAGAATGAAAAAGCAACGATCAATCATAATCTTTTTTCCTCCCTTGGGGAAGCAAACTCCGATTGCAAAAGATTGAAGATGCATACATCTTCAGATATATAAAAAAAAAAAAAAAAAAAATCTAACGATACAATACGCTTCGTAATTTCGAACTGACTCGAAACTCTGAGAAATCATTTAATCGCTACGACGACCAAACTTAAATCTAAATGACGAATTCCCCGTTATCAACAAAATTAAATTCTATCGGCAAATATAATCGCCCATTTATTTTCATCGCGTTGTAAAGAAAAATCCGCTTCATCAAACGGATTGCATATTCAAATTGCAATAATCAAAAACTAGAAGAAGAACAAAAAAAAAAAAAAAAACTCCAAAAATAATAAATATGCAATACGAAATACCGCATTGTTGCCACCTATCCGCTCCATCAAGCTGAAAGCCCATTAAAGAAAATTTACTTTTTTCTCGGCCAAGTTATGCGTTATCAAATCGAGGGAAAATTACTCGCGCGGCACGAAATACAGTATTTCTCGATTTTCTCCCTTTGCACGGGCAATTTGCCGCTGGTATCCCGCGGCGATAGGCCAAGCCCACGTATCGGTTCCACCACGGTGACGACGTCGATGATCTCCGGGTCGCCGTATTACCACTTTTCCTTTACGAATTTTTCCACGTTTCTTCGTCCCCTTGTTCGGTTAATGTTGACCCTTTACCAGGTATTCATGTCCAGGGTATCGACTCACGAGGTATGCTCGTTTCCCTTCCGAATTCCAACAAATAAATTCGGGAAAAATATCGAAAGTTTCGAGAAATTTCGTTGATTGAATACGAACAGACGCGAATTTGTCCAAATGAAGAAGGGGAAAACGCGGATAGAATTCAATCGTTAGCAATTCCTAAACCACGATTAATAGTTTGTCAAGCCGATCAGGTTTCGTTCATTGGTATACACACTGCATCTTCCTCATTCATGCCACTCCGCTTCACTCGGTGTTCAATCACACCCGATGATACACGAGCAACATTCAAATCGAGTGCTCTTCCGATCTTTCCTCTCAAACATGGCGTCTTTTCAATTTGCAAATAAAAATGGCGAACGAATGATGGAACTACGAATGAATTTTCCACGGGACATATTTTCATCGAGAGCAGTCAAACAACATCAATGATACAGCTGGTGGTTTGCCACGATCTATGATTTATTGTATATTTATTGTTTGAGGCCGTTGAACCCTTGCTCGCCCCTTTCAGCTTTCCTCCCCTTGCTTTCGCTGTTCGGTCGGCCCTGAAAGCCGCGATCACGAAGACGTCGATAGCTCCTTGGACGACGAGCAGGATGGGTCAAGCCTGGCCTCTGGAGGCGACCAACCGCTCCAAGGGTCATCACGATGCTATCGCTCAACCGGAGGAAGGAAGGTTGTTGGTCGAAGCGCGTGGACGTACGTGCAACGCTCTCGGACCTCCCGAGGACTCGGAAGTCGCCGCGAGAACGGCCATGCATCATCCCATTTTTTCCTATCGCCGATTCTTCCTCGTCCATTGTCCTCTCTCTCAGCTCCTGGGCTCCTTTTTTCTTCTTATTCTTTTTCTCTCTCTCTCTCTCTCTCTCTCTCTCTCTCTCTCTCTCTCTCTCTGTCGAGGTAGGTTGATTGAGCTTGGGATAAGGGTATCTTTATTTCCTTAGGATTCCAAGATGTTTGGAAATTTGGAATCGTGAATTTTTCTACGTTCTTAGAATTGCTGAAAGGTTGGGAAATCTATAAGAAAGTGAGATTATAGTGAGAAATGGTTGTCCTCGTTCGTTGCCCGACTGATGTTTGGATAATCGAGTTAGAAATTTAGATTCTGGAAAGATTTAATGTAAAAAATTCGCAAAGAAAAAATAGTCGCCAATATCTCGGAGTTGGAGCTTTACAGGTTATAAAGAATAATTTAATAAAAAGGTTTAAGTGTGATCGGAAGTCGTCGCGAAAATAACTATCCTCGTTCGTCTTCGAACGATAATGCTGATCGATTTAGAAATCTAGATTCTGGGAAATTTAATGCAAAGAAATAGTTTTCCCCTTGGAGGTTATAAAGAATAATTTAATAAAAAAGTTTAAGTGTGATCGGAAGTCGTCGCGAGAATAACTATCTTCGATCGTCTTCGATCTTTGGATGATAATGTCGATCGATTTAGAGATCTAGATTTTATGTAAGAAGATTTAATGTAAAAAGAATCGAAAAAAAATAATCGCCAATTTTTCCCCTTGGAGCTCAAGAGAGTTATAAAGAAGTAATAATTTACGAATCGAAAAAAAAAAAAAAAAGAAATATTCGATTATTCGAATCACAATCCTTTCTAACTGCAATGCAAAATGTACGTACGTGGATCGATCTGCGGAAGAAGATAATTTAAGCAAATTTCGCTATTGTCATTTTCGTATCAACCGAGTGGAACAAGCTCGAGTACATAACGTATTGTCACGGTGACTGCTCGAACATCGAGAGCGAGATCGTGTCGGAATGCGAGGAGTAAGAATTTCCTGTAACCCGTTCGCGATGATTATCGGGAAGCATGTTCACGTTGGTACGAGCAAAGACAATTTCGTGAACGGACTACCACGTAAATAATAAATCTTGCTTAAATTTCTCCATTCCTGTTTCATCCTCCTTCGATCCCTCTCCTACGATCGTCTCAGTAACAATAAAACAACGTTAACTTCTTATATTAATTTCTTTTAGGAAAATTTCTTCTGAGAACACTTTTTTATCTCTTCGAATAAAATAAAGTAGATAAAA